GGATTGATTTGCCCCATCTGATAGCCGCAATTGGACTTCTTGACGTAGTCTGGTGAATTCTAACTCCACATGCTCACGAAGTTGGGCCATATCAGCAGCTATCTTCTCATTCGACTCGACATGTGTCTCTGAATTGGCCTGCTTATCCAGGCGCAGCTCGTTGACCAATTTTTCAACGTGCGATAATCGTAACGAGGTAAAGTTGACCAAGTCGTCAGTGGTGGCCGTGGTCTCGGCCTCCGTTGGCGGAAAAGATGATGGAAGACTTTGTACCAAAGGTCAGGGTTGCGTGGAGGGTTTTGGGTGAGGGGGCGACGTTGGGGGCGTGTGGGGGTGGGGATGGGGGGAGGGGGGTTTTTCGATGAGGAGGGAGGGGAGAGGGGGATGGGAGGTTGCGTACTTTGTATGGATGGAGGGGAGGTGAAAGGCATGCATGGATTGAGTAGGGTTGGTTGGGATATAGGTGATGTAGTGGCTAGCGGTGTTTGAGTACGTTAGGAAGGGGCTGGCTGGCCATTTGACGTCTGGGGTAGGGGTATATGAGTTAGGAACAAGCATAGGTGAGACAGATATAGCCGTTCGCTTCCAAGGCGAAAAAAAAAATCAAGAGCGCGACATGAAGAGGAAGTAAGAAGAATCTCTTCATCGCTGCTAACGGGATTACGCAGCGCCAAATCTCTCGGCACAAGCGCAACATCAACAAGAAACAGAGCACATCTTGAGATGAAAAGAAGTCATCTTGCGACTCAATACGAACTGAAAATGCCTTGATTGGATTCACACAAAGATTCGAACAAAAAAAGGGGGTATTGGGCGTATAAAGGCCCTAACACTAAGATCCCGAACGGCATGGCTTATGCATATTGCTGAGCTCCTCCATCTTTCCTTCCCTCTCTGGCTTACGAGCCACAAACCATGTCCAATCTTTCTATTCCGAGAACCATAGCCTAGATCTTGTACGCTACTTGAACTTGCAATTTTGAGGGGGCCTATTTCCAGCCAGGTTGTGGTGTATGAGGACCCGGTGGACCGCCGTAGCCACCTGGGTGCTGTCCTGGAGGAGGAGGATATTGGCCAGGCCCACCCCCGTATTGGTTTCCATGGGGCGGGCCACCGCCGTACTGGTTGTGTTGAGGGTTGTCGTAGTTTGCAGGGCCGCCGTAGTGACCGCCGGGTGGACCGCCGTAGCCGGCAGGACCGCCATAGCCAGCTGTATCGAATTGGTCAACCGGTACTTTGACGGGGTTCGAACTGGTACGTACCTTGTTGACCATAGCCTCCAGGAGGACCAGGTGGTGGGCCTTGTCCACCGTAGCTGGGTGCGCCGCCGCCATAGCCAGATTGTCCCCCAAATCCAGCTTGTGCGCCATAGTTTGGTTGCTGGTGCTGTTGGCCGTGTGGTTGACCGTATGGCGGCTGGCCACCACCATATCCACCTGGAGCAGGGGAAGAGTAGCCCGGTTGGCTCTGTGGTGCGCCACCGTGGCTACCTGGCTGGCCACCCGGGTTGTAAGATGCTGGAGGCGCGGTGCCTGTGTAGGTACCACCTGATCCACTCGAAGAGGTGTGGCTATAGCCGTAGTCGCTATTGGCAGGCTTGTTATGCTACCATCTGTCAGTGCTGCTCGTACGAGTCTTGTCATCGCTAAATGCGCATACCGAACCACCACCAAGGACACCGCCTAGCAGGCTCCCGAGACCACCTCCACTCGAGCCATGGCCTGAGCTGCTGTTGTGGCCGCCAGACGAGCCTCCATGATTGTTCTGCTTTCCACCACCAAGGAGCGAGCCAGCAAGCTGACCCACGAGATTGCTCGAGCCACCGCTGCCGCCGCCATGCGATTGCTTTCCGCCTCCGAGGAAGGAACTAGCGAGTTGGCCAACGAGGTTGTTCGACCCGCCGCCGCCGCCACCACCGCTGCTGTGCTTGTTGTTACCCATGAGTGCATTCATCGCGAAGCCCTTTCGTCATCGTCAGCGTCGTCTTCGTTGATGCCCAACAATGTCATGCGTACCCCAAGTCCACCAGAGCGGTCGCCTGTGGGACCATCGACACCCCGTGTCCCGTCACCAGTATCTGGCCCCTGTGATCCATCCGGTTTGTTGTATGGGTTTGTGGCGTGGGCAGGCGTGCTGCGGTTGGAGCCGGGGCCTATGGGAGCCTCGGTTGTAGGAAGCTCCCATTGTGACACACGGGTGCTAATCTGAACGTCTGATGTGCAATGTTAGTTGTCTTTGTGAGCTGTATGTAGAAGCCTGTCTTGCACGGGGACAGAGATGGCCAGCCACGTACAGTAGTATTTGCGAGACCTGTCACCGAGTTAGCCATGTCGGATGATAGTATGCGCCGGTGTGGTGGGGCAGGGCAGTGGGAGCAGTGGTGGGAGGGCGGCAGTGGCAACAGCAGCAGCAGCAGCAGCAGAAGGCGGTGGGGGCAAACGTACGAATTGTCCCATTGCGCAGTCCATCCAGCAGGCAGCTGCGGCAGCGTAGGGTCGGTTGGGCCTGTGTCGGGCGAAGCGGGATGAATGGGGGGTGTTGGCGCCGCCATGATTGATGATGGATGGTGTTGTTCAGTGGGTTGTTGCAGGCTGGGCGAGGGCGCGGGGTCGAGGCAGAAGACGCCGCTTGTCAGTCTGTCTAGCAAGCACGGTGCAAAAAGGCACAAACTGCAAGCGACCCGAGGTGGAGAAAAGAAAGGGTTGTCTGTGAAGGTGAAGGGTGCTTGCTGTAGAGTATAACACCACTCGCCAGCATCCCAGGGCTTAGACCAAGCTCCTGCTAATGGATGATGACAGCTGTGTGAATTGGGGG